AAAACCGAGCCCACCCGGAGCCCGCCCGTTCAGGCCCGGACCCGAGCCTGGTTTTTCGGATCGGGCCGGCCCGGATGGACAGTCCTAGATTAGCCTAAAAAGTGACACCTTATTTACTAGTGTAGCCTAAAAGATGTTGGCGACAATTTAGTCTAAAAAGTAATAAGTATGATGACAAATAGGCATTTCTAGTGCTGGAGATAATTTTTAAGCAAAAATTAACTATTTTTTGCATAAAGACCCCTCACTCTCCTCTATTTTCTGATTTCCGCCACCCCCACCCCCACTGATACGAGTTGCCGTGCGAGCACCCTTTGGTCGCGGAATCACCAAAAGGTGGGTTGAGAAGAGGACGACCAAAACACAAGAACAATTCAGTTTGGCGAAGGAAAATACCTTCTCTAGATTATGAAGAACAAAAGATTACAATCTCTCCCTCACAATCTCACTCTAGAATTGAAGAACAAGCTCTCCAAATCTCAATCTAGAATCTAATATCTCTTGATTAAACTCTCTGATCTAAAAGATCTCCTCTTGATTCTAAGATCTCATAGAATCTCATAATCTAAACCCTAATCCTTTTGATTAGGATCTCACTTAGACCTAAAACTCTTTAGATCTACATCTTGGTCTCTCCCCCTTGTTTAGAACCCTAAACAGTCCCTATTTATAGGGTTTACAACGTGGTGGCAATCTGGTAAATAACCAAAACCAAACCCAACTAGAATTCCTTCAAAACAGAAACCAAGTCTGCCCAGGAAACCTCGATGAGTCGACTCATGACTGAGATGAGTCGACCGAGCAGAAGTTTTTGACAAAACGGCTGGGTTTCGTGAGTCGACTCATTACAGACATGAGTCGACTCAACCTGATGAGTCGACTCATGTACCGTATGAGTCGACTCGCGAGCTGAAATCTGGATTCTTCGAATCTGCTGCTCGCCGTCTCGTTCCACGCTTCCACCTGTGCTCCGCCGTGTCGCTTCACACTACTATTCTCAAGATATCATGAGAATCACCTATCCTCAAGCTCCCATGAGGATCGCTTTTTTTCCGAAGAGAAGATACACCCGTATCATGGGTCGCCCCCTCTTGATCCACAATCGCCGACAGCTGGATTTTGTTATTCTCCAACATGTACTTAAAGATGTCGGGAACTTCATCATCTTTGAAGGAATACACTTTAGGAAACCTCGGCTCCGAAGATTTCTGCTTCTGAGGCCGTTGTTGCCATTGCCCCCGAGATTGTTGTGGTGCTTGTTGCTGCGGCTGTTGCTGAGGTTGCAATTGGAAAGTTTGATTAGCATCAACTGCATTAGCATGTGCCTTACCTTTCGAATTACCAAAAGGTGGGTTGAGAAGAGGACGATCAAAACACAAGAACAATTCAGTTTGGCGAAGGAAAATACCTTCTCTAGATTATGAAGAACAAAAGATTACAATCTCTCCCTCACAATCTCACTCTAGAATTGAAGAACAAGCTCTCCAAATCTCAATCTAGAATCTAATCTCTCTTGATTAAACTCTCTGTCTAAGATCTCATAGAATCTCACAATCTAAACCCTAATCCTTTTGATTAGGATCTCACTTAGACCTAAAACTAGAGTCCCTATTTATAGGGTTTACAACGTGGTGGCAATCTGGTAAATAACCAAAACCAAACCCAACTAGAATTCCTTCAAAACAGAAACCAAGTCTGCCCAGGAAACCTCGATGAGTCGACTCATGACTGAGATGAGTCGACCGAGCAGAAGCTTTTGACAAAACGGCTGGGTTTCGTGAGTCGACTCATTACAGACATGAGTCGACTCAACCTGATGAGTCGACTCATGTACCGTATGAGTCGACTCACGAGCTGAAATCTGGATTCTTCGAATCTGCTGCTCGCCGTCTCGTTCCACGCTTCCACCTGTGCTCCGCCGTGTCGCTTCACACTACTATTCTCAAGATATCATGAGAATCACCTATCCTCAAGCTCCCATGAGGATCGCTTTTTTCCGGAAAAAAAAAAGAAAAAGAAAATCTTCTCCCTCCTTCCCACCATCTCCTCCATTCTTTTCTCATCATGATCCTCAACCCTCCATCCTCTCACCCACTCTCTTTCTCCCTCCTTTCCAATATCCTTCCTATTACTTTCACTTTTTCCTCTTTCTTCAAACCCACCCCCCCCCCCCAAAAAAAAAAGAAAAAGAAAATCTTCTCCCTCCTTCCCACCATCTCCTCCATTCTTTTCTCATCATGATCCTCAACCCTCCATCCTCTCACCCACTCTCTTTCTCCCTCCTTTCCAATATCCTTCCTATTACTTTCACTTTTTCCTCTTTCTTCAAACCCACATCTTCTTAACTTCTTTCACTTCTCTCTCTTCTTTGTCATCTTTCTCCCTCTCCCCTCTCCTTCATCCCTCCTAATGCTTCAAGTAGAATGTTTGATGTTAGATCTAAGTAAGAGAGAGGAGGATGAGATTGAGTTTTTGATGATTGGATAGTGAAAAAAGAGTGGGTAGAGCAAGGAAGGAGAGGGAGAAACGAAGAGGAGGTTGGTTATTAGATAGAATGCTTGATGTTGGGTCTAAGGGAGGAAGAGGAAGAGGTTTGATTTTTTTTTTTTAAATGATTAAATGGTGAAAAGGGAGTGAGTGGAGCAAGGAGGGAGAGGGAGTGGGAGAGAGGAGAGGATGTTAGGGATTGGGAGGAAAAAAATGAAGGAGATGATGGAAAGGAGAAGGTAAGAATGAATATGGGAAATGATGGAAGAGTGAGAGAGAGGAAGGAAAGTTGGAGATTGAAGGAGAATAGAATGGAGGAGATGGTGGGAAGGAGGAGGGAAGAGATGGTGGGAAGGGAGGGTTTTTTTCAATTACAAATTTCAGAAAATTTTTTTGGGGATAATTCGAAAAATATGGGACAATGAGGGGTCTATATGCAAAAAAACATAGCTAAGAATTGTCCATGGCACCGGAAATGCCTATTTGTCATTGTATTTGTCATTTTTTAGATTAAACTGTCGTCAGCATCACTTTTTAAGCTAAACTGGTAAAGAGGTACCACTTTCTAGGCTAATCTAGTATTTTAGCCCTGTAAAAACTATTTGGCTCACAAATATTGCAACCTGCTACATCAACAATTCCGCTATGGAAAATATGTCTCACTATAATCACAATTATTTTATAATTAGAATTAAAAAGATTTTTTTAAATTTTAAAAGAACAACTTACAACTCATTTGACCATAGATGATTTTTTTCAAAATATGATCCAATTTTTC